GACGGAATTAATATATCATGACATTGGTGTAGGCCTAATGTCTGATAATTCCATGGAATCTCAAATGCAAACACATTTTACATTTAAACAATGTAAAATTAAGTTGTCTGGTATTATTTTAAATTTTGATTTCGATTTCGATTTATTAAAAAAAAAACATTTATATTCACAAGATTAACAATAGAAATGTTAATGTTGGCCTATGCCTAAAAACACTTTTGGCCCCGTCCAATCAGAAAGATGTATTTTGATGACGTCATGGAAAATAAAAAAGTTTCCCACAGAGGTTCTTTTGTCCCAAACCTCCTTGAACATTTCAAAAATCATTGCAATATGAACTTGTTTTGGTATTACAATGAAAACTAATATCGTCCAATCAGAAAACAGTACAAAAATGACGTCATATAGATTTGAAAATTCTTTTATTGAATTCTACGAGTATGAAAACCTCTAGATAAGTCTTCTATTTGCTTAGATTTGCTTCTGTAATGAGTAATTAATTTTGGCACACTTTGACTTCAGTCTGGCCCACTTTGCGACGTGGAAAGACTAATAATCTTGTTAATAATGTGGTTCTGAAATTCATCTTATGACCACAACGTTGAAGTTGTAACTTCTTACAGGAAAAATAACAATACAATTTTATTGTACCGCCACCAGCTGGGAAAGTAATTAAATATGCATTAATGTCTTCTGTGATTGGTTGATTGCCAACATTTCAATGCTAATTGGATGCAAGGCTTTGGTGAGTCGACGGATATAATGCGTAACTCTCAAATTAATAGGCCTATAATATTTCGAAAAATTGTTTGGAGTATATATGATCACGTTCCATGATAGATTACATCCACAGGGTGCCCCTTAGCCAAAATCACAAAAATGGATATATTGCGTTTTTCCGAATCACGACCGATTGAGGGATTATGTTAAATCTGGTTGAAATGTAAAAATTTAAGATTTTATTTTTAAACGACAGAATATCACAAATTTATATTTGGCACATTCTCGACTGTCTTGGAAATGTGGACCTTATGAAATTTGGTTGGGTGCGTTATTCACACTCTTCGCAACACCCCACCTACTGGATATAAGGGCCTGGAAACTTTACGTTTTACTTGCCAATTATTGTCGTATTATATGTTTATTAGATATTTTCTCAATTTCTTAGTATTTTTTTTTTAATTTGTTTAATTCTTTTTCCACTTCCAACGCGTGTTTGATTTGAAATTTACATACCATTTATGTCGTGGCTCTTCTACAGATTCTGTGTTCATTTTCAGTTTCTCGGTGCTCGATGGTCATTTTTGACTTTCTTTTTAGATGTACTGTATCAAAGTGTGTTCGTAAGTTTTAAGCTCTAGAGCTCTACAGTTGGGCTGCCAACTCCATTAAAGACCTGTTTTTTATTAACCATACATTGTGGCATAAATAATAATAATAATAATAATAAGAATAATAATAATAATAATATTAATAATAATAATAATAAAAGAACTCAACAGTGTACGTTATCGCGCAACCGTTTTCAATAACGGTCCACCTTTGATTATATTAATACTTAGACAATTTTGGTTTAGGTGGGTGGCATTTCTGACAGAAAGAGTTGGATTTCGCCAGACCACCAGGCACTACTATCACTTTATATTGGAGAACGGTGCGTCTGGTGTTCGAAAATTGCACTCTCATACTTTACAAAAATACAATACAACAATTATTTTTCCTAATACAATTTAGGGGGTGCAATCGCACCGTCTGCATCCCCTCTGCATCCGCCCTAGGGAGACAGGTGAGCGTTGTTTGAATGAGGTTGATTTTACAATTGTCCTACCCGAAGAATATTTTTTTTCATTTTGATAACAAGAAAAAAAAAATGAAATAATTATAAGACGATGAGGTGAGGATGACGACGACAATGATGAAGATGGAATGAATGAGTGATAGAGACACTATCATAACTGGTGGCTTGAAATTCCATAGCCACCTTTAGCCACCTTGGTTGGGGCGAGGTGCGGATTTGTTTAATGTAGAGCAACCCAAGATGTCTGGAAAATGGCACCCTCAGACTTAGAAATTGTCTTAATTTGAAAATTTGAAAACTTTAGCCACACTACTATGCCGACATCAAGTGAACTGCAAAAATGAAAAATAACTGACGCTATCGTTCGCGCACTCTAAATTCAAGCAGGCTTTTACACATGAAACTGCAATTTCTATTGTGAATTGTTAGAAAAAGTATGAAATTTCACCCAAAAAAAATGGCTTGAGAGGGCCTGAAAGCTCACGCCATGAAATACACTATGACTAATGCAGGCTAAAGTGAAGTCGAGTCCAAGCTGGAATTAATGAGATCCAAAGTGCCCCTGTCAGGGTACAAGGACAAACGCCCCAGCAATCATCTTTACATTAGAGGGAAAAGAAAGGACAGTTTCGCTGACAACAGATATTTGTTGGTAACTTACATTGGTGGTCAGGCTTTCATGAATGCACAGATGACGTTCTGTTTTACTGTGGATTTCATCACGATGATATCGGCGTTTGAGTGACAATTTTTACAATTGTAAGGGCATTGGCATGTATAATTGATTATTTTAAAGTTAATTTAACCATTTTAAATGATAAAATTTAGTATTGAATATAACGATAAATATTATTAATCAATATTTTTTTTAATGCATTGCTTTATTAGATTTTTTCTATAAGGGGCCCTGGAAATCGGGGGCCTGTTTCAGTGAACCGCCTGAACCTGTGGTTGTTACGCCAATGCTAGACAATTTTAATTTATAATGTGCAGTATTATGTAAAGATAAATATATCAATCTAGATTTTCATTTATGCATTGCTTTATTAGATTTTTTATAAGGGGGTGGGGCCCTTATAGATCGGGGGCCCCTGGAGCTTGGGGGCCCAGGTTCGACGAACCTGCTTAACGCCACTGCACTAGAATTTTTAGTCGACGTGCGACGTGTCAACGTCGCACACCAATTCTCATCCAGTCTTCAGAGTATACAGTTGCTGTAGTTTCTGATTATTCTGAAAAGATATGTTTTAATGTGAAATGCAATTACTATTTTATTTATAATGAATAATATTGGCGTGTCCATGATTGCGCATCAACAAATAAATTTTTAACATAAATATATATAAATCACAAAATATAATAAAAGATATACAATGGTAGACCTACAATAAATATTTGAAAACTTATTTATCAAACCATGCATTACAATACTGTAAGTTTGTTTTTCGTATACCCAATTACTTTTGTTGTGTTTATTGATTGCAAGATTCATTGTTTGTATCTATAAACAACTTTTGTATTTTCAATTTTGAATTCTCCCCAGCCTTGAGAATTATTTTAAACATATCATTTTTGGTATTACAAGCTATTTTAAAAACGTTGCTTATAAAAATATTAGTAAAAATGTATGGTCAGTGCTTATGTGAATCAACAATGTCCATCAATTCAACTTTATCAATTTTACTGACAACACAATATATTTAACAACATTTCTCTGTTGGTTTTTTATCCTAGTGAAATACTTCTACATTTAGTAGGCCCTTACGGTACTTCTAGGCATTTCACTATCGTCAAAAATGTCGAATAGGTTCTTGTCTACTAAAGTTATCGTCATTGTCTCCACCATTTATTTTTAGCTACATGATAGATAGATAGATAGATAGATAGATAGATAGATAGATAGATAGATAGATAGATAGATAGATAGATAGATAGATAGATAGATAGATAGATAGATAGATAGATATAGATAGATAGATAGATAGATAGATAGATAGATAGATAGATAGATAGATAGATAGATAGATAGATAGATAGATAGATAGATAGATAGATAGATAGATAGATAGATAGATAGATAGATAGATAGATTTACATAAGGCTTCAGTGAATGTATGATCATACCATCTCCTAGAAAATAACACATTTTTACTTCAAAAAAGGAAATGATGATGACTACACAGCCGGGAAGGGAACATGCTATTTACCCATATGACCCAGAGTCGCTGCAAGTAGTCAACTCTATCCCTGCAAAGTACAAGAGCAGTCAGAAGCTATTGGCGGAACTCAATTTGACCGTTGCTAAACTGTCGAAAAATACTGAATCTCTTCGTAGCGAGCTTCATGGCAACGTTTCCTACGAGCAATTTATGACAGGTAGGTCTAGTACAGAAACAAACTCAATTTCAATGTGAACACATTTTGTCATACCAGTTTTGATATTAAACGATTTCGATATGTTCTTCTCCTCAACCTAGAGATCTTATTCTATAACTTTTTTTTCTAGATATGCTTTACCACGATGAGGTCAAACTGGCTAATGGACAGTTTCTTCCGTATTCCTTTGTAACATTCGAATTGCTGAAGAATCCTGATAGTCCAGAGTTGCCGGTAAAAAAGAAAATGACACAAGGGAGAGCTTTCCTGACTAACCGTAGGCTGATTGTGCTGAGCAATGATGAAGGGACATGCAGTAAGTTTACTACTTCGTATCATAGGCCTACTTTACATGGACTAGCATAGGCCGACTGTGATTTGGTGGATATTCGTTTGATAATCCATCCTCAATCCAAACTTAGACCTTTTTCAACACTGGAAAACATTATACCGATAATTAGCACTCCACAGAGATAGTATTTACATATTTTCTTTGATTTTTCCATTCAGACAAGTTGACACTACTGTATTTTCAAATTTGTTTAGGTTACACATGGCATCATAATACGTAACCACACCATTATTTTACTATGTTTAAAATATAGGCGCTACAGTTTCTGGAATTCCTTTATCCGATGTAAAACCGAGTAAATACTCAGTAAAATGCGAGGCTGGTGACGCTTTCCATTACCAGTATCTCCCACTGAGCAGCATTCGAGCTGTTGAATTTGATGCTATTGTTGGTGCTTCAATGTCTACATACATTAACAGCCAGGAAGCATGTTGCCTTTTAAAGATTCTCAGTTGCTGCGGGGTGAGTTTAATTGTTGGATATTTTTCTTGTAGTTACGAAGAATTTAAATGGACTCATGTCTCTAGGTCTTGCTACTCGCCAAAGCGTCTCAACATGCCATGTCGCTGCCCGATGATGATGATGACGATGAAGATGAAAATGACATAGGCGTTAATCCCGGGTGGATGGGGGATATATCCCCCCCAATATTTGACAAGGGGGGATGGTC